TATATATATATATAGACGAACATTATGGTGGTACGGCAGTGAAACACCAGTGCCAACACTGATGTTGCTGTCTTTGATGATGATGATGATGAGTTAGGGTCATCATCATCATCATCCTCATTAATCTCAGTTAGGGTCAATCGTTTGGCGATTGGGGCGTGCGGTTTTTAAGTCTGCGAGGGAAGTCAGCATCACTGCTTTCATGAATATGGACATATTGTTCGCCTTGGGGAAATACCTTACTACCTTCACACTCATCGTAGAGGACAGTATGAATTTATCCCCAGACCGCCTCGTAATACGGTTACTCGTAGAACGGGGTCTCACTGCTCTTGGTCTGACTGCTCTCTTTTGGCGTTCCTTGCATGTTTGTACCTCGTGGAACGAAGTTCCAGCCAGTGTAGCCTATGGAATCATTGCATCACTAAAACCCGACCACCACGTCGAGGTGGCAGTTTTAGGTCTGGGGTAGATGTTACAAGAAGTCTGGATGATTTTGGCGCTGTTCGTCTTCTGGGCTGTAGTCCACATGACCCTCGTCGTAATTGGCCGGAGACTTAAAGACGTCCTTACTGTCTTTCCATCCAGATTGTCTTTCTGCGAGATTTATGTACCTTGGATGTTTGTGGTTGGAGTAGCCTTAGGTCCTCCTCCCTGTCCGTTTTACTCTTTCCATTATAGCGCTCTGTCCAACCAAACTGACTTCAATATACGGCAACAAATACCGATGTTTCTTTCTAGTTTTACTATCGGTAATATTGGTGATGATGATGTCCTGATTGTAGTGGGAGTCGATGACTTAGTTAATCGATTATTGATCCGTTGAGTAGAATGAGAAGACTTCGCCTAAGGATAGGCTTTATTCAACAAATAAGCACAGTATAGGCTGAAATGACAAGTGAAAGTGAATTAATGGAAATAGCAGTAAAGCGTAACTTTCACTACACTGATTACTTATGGGGTCGAGCTTCACAGAAAGCTTTTGGGGTTTGAAAGTGGTTATTTAGTTGTTTGAGTCCGTTACTACACATAAAATCAGAAAAATTAAATCGTTTAGCTGTCATCCCTTCGCTGCCTAGCTACTATGTCACCCGAAGGAAGCATGAGGCTGCCCAAGCTCGGACAGGAGAAGTCGAGGTGCAGTGGTCGGGTTCGAATCACGGACCTTCCGGTTAGTAAATTCTTGCTCTAACCACTGAGCAATCTCGCCCAAATAGATACACCGAAGTTCCCGCAAGGTGTGACACAAGGTGAACAAAGCTCTCAGTCTTAGTGTCTTGATCCCTCTAGAGAAAATTCATAATAGGGTGGCGTCTGGGATAAGGAGTATGTGGAGCTGTAAGAAGGGAAGCTTCGGCAGGTGAATGTTTTCGACGTTCAGATTGGTATGTTCAGCGGTTGATTGACCGAACTGTTGGGACGCCACGGAGCGGCTAGCGTGGCGTGGCATTTTTCTAGTTGTAAGGTTCATGGTTGTACGCAGGTTGGGATAATGTCCAGCCACGTTAATCTAGCTAGGACGACTATTATGTTACTCACCCAAAGCGGATTAAAAGCCTGACTGCAATTCTAATGGTCGGCACCTGTTGTTTAGGTAATATTGTCATATTTTCGTGGAATACATTCATTTGCAAATTAAATCGGTGTTATCGAGAAACCAAACAGAATCGCAGCTGAATCTCTCGTTTATTCTATTCTGCAACTTAATGTGTTACACAGAAATGTCTAATGTTTCCGCTGGTACTGTATTTGATATATCGCAATACACTTTCTTGATTGAACACTTCAGAAGGTTTTCAGCGACCTTCTGGTTAGCGGGTTTCATCAAGAAAAGTCGCCGTGCATGTTCCATCCATAAAGCAGGAGACCGAGGCCACCAGACCTCATTCACCGATCAGAGAGATATGTCAAACTCTGAGTTTCAAAGCAACCTCCCATCGTATGCCTCAGTGGGTCTTTGGAGTATGAAAGCCGCCACACCACTATAAGTTGCAATCTATTTTCCTAACCTTGAAATACACACTGTGGGGATCTGTCTGTGTTTGTTCACATTGTTTCAGCTGCCTACATGCCTCACATTCTTTTTCTTTGAGACTTTATGTAACTTTCGAAAAGCAAAGGAAAAATCTAGTTGGCTGGTCAATTTCACCTCCTTCATTTTGTGGTGGTCGACTCACGTAGTAGGATGAGCCAGATACATGGATGTCGCGTCTTATCGCTGTCCAGGAACGGCGGTTACAGACGAAGTCAGATCCAGTTTCGACTCTAGCCATATCATATGCCACGTTGATACTAGATCGTTCCATGTATGGCTGGACGATGCCGATCGGGGCAGCCGATCCGAGACGGTAGCATGATGCTCGTTCTGGTTTACGAGCCATTGAACGTCCGAAGGTCAACTTCACTCCGTATATACTTCGAAACAGCATCCTCCATCAACCAAGATCGTTCAAAGAGAGTTCTTTCTCAGGAAAGGAAAAATGTCTCATTCCCGTTGGCGATTCTTTTGGAAAACCAGTGTGCCTCTTTTCTTGGTCGTGGCTAACTGGCAACACTTTGTGTGGACACTGTAGAGGAGTTGCATTTTATCTTATCAGTGGCCCGAGATACTGGCGACTCTTTTGGACTTGGAGGACGTATCCATCCAACCGTTCAGCTGTACCATTCTTTCGGTCCACATCTGGCGTGCGACTTGGGATACTGCCAGGTTGTCCAGGCCTAGATAGGAACAACTGAAAAATCAGTGAGCTATCTCAAGCCTGCGTAACGACTTTGCCTCCTCTTATGGAAACGAAATATTTGCAAGCCAGTTGCCAAGCTCAGTGAACAGATAGGTTACTAAAGGAATATCAATCTTCCTTCTCATGGGAATTACTTTGTATAAATTTGGCTACTCATTTCCGAATCAACCAACAACGTCCAGCAACACAACAACCACAATTTATCCACATGTTTCAAATATACCATTCTTTTGTTTTGCAGAATATTCTTATGGAGCTTGAATTAGACAATATCCTTGTCGGCACTTGCATCACCTTGGTCGTGTGTATGATATCTGGCATCTTGTTCTATATGTTCAAGCATGCCGCCATCATCTCATCATCGCCACCACCTGCCGTGATTCAGGAGACGAGTCCGGCTAGGAAGAAGACGAAAAATAAGGCTAAAAAGTACAAACGAAAGTTGGGATCTCCAGATGCTCTTGGTTTTCCGCTGGAACAGGATGCGGACAGAACACAAACTTCGGACGAAACTGTGGATGAGGATGAACAACCCTCACTTTCAAACTCTAATCACCATCTTTCGAAGATGGAACTTAGTAGCCGATCCTCAAGTGATGAAAATACTGATCTTGAACAAACTACCGAGACGGCACCTGCACATCCTCATGCGCGTGTTACCCCTAACATCGCAGATGGTGATCTTTGTTCAATACGCTCGTTCGAGGTGAAAGAATCTTCATTGCCAGAGTCAGAGGCATGTTCAGTTGCACCACATATGCCTGAAATGCAAAGTCTTGCGCCCACGGAACAGACTGAACTTGTGAAAGTCTCCGAGTTGGCTGTTAATAGTTCCCTTGCTCACAACTCACCTCAACCGTCGGTTACAAAATCCTCCAAACGGTCAAAGCGTCGGGGAGCCAAACGAATGGTCGGTTTGGTAAACGCTGCTGATACTAGTGGTAATTCATCAACACCTCTCTTACTTCCGGATGTGGAACATATTGTTGATCCTGTTGAGGAAATATCAAGCCCCTCCAGTGTGTCTGTCAAAGTGGCCGAACGATCCCCGTCGCGCAAGCGTAAAGTCTTAGAGAAAGAATCGAACGAAGAGCTGAATAAATTGATGGGGCAACTACGAGTAGGTCTAGTTCCTAGGCTTTTACATGATATTGCAATCTTGATTAAATATTGTTAACTTTAGGAGTGTTGCAGTCGAGTTTTTTCGACTGTTTCTCCATTCAATAGGACTACAAGGAAGTTTCCTTTGTCAACACGTCATCTCTTTCATCCTGCACTCTTCTAGGGTCTTTTCTCTGGTCTGTTCATCCTTTTGTTATGTTACAGCCGTATGGGCCAACAAAGGATCGCCAAACTGGGTATATTCCTAGGCTTTTTGTCGTATACTGCGGTAATCACTTGCGTTATGTTAATTTGTATCAGTTCGGTGTGAGGACATCTGGCCGTCTAATTTATCTTTATGAAAATCTGTTTAATTTAGGCTCACCAGCATTCAACGGAGCCAGCCCATTGTCATCAGGAGCCACTTGCTCTAGACCGCACAAACTAAATACATCTTAGAAACGGTAGAACTAGTCACGGACTGGAATATCAAAGCCAGAACAGAAGTTCCCTATGAATCCCAACACTATTTGGCTTGGTACAGTTCTCATCTTCGCCTATGAAGCACATTACTACCACTGTTTAGTTTGATGAATCTCCTTTTTTCATGTTAATGTCAGTTCAACTAATCCTTCACTGTACGTTACTATGGCTACTTTTATTGGTCCCTCAATACCTTTTCACTTCTCATGTGATCGGCCAATCAATTGTATTGCTGACCCTGCCCGATAAATGTGCTTTTTACCATTGCTGTTTTAGGATAGCACGTGATTTCTTTGGCGTAAATCTAGGTTGTCATGGCCTAGGAGTGAGTAGATGATTACTATGAGGAGACGGTAAACGATAATTTCTTGTCGACAGGCCCTGAGCATATGTCGCAGTGATTTGAAGCCGCACTTTATCTCACTTTTTGTGCACTTTATCATTGTGCCTAACTTGCTTGCTTCGCACGCTCCGAACGGTGTACTGTTGTTCACTTTCATTTGTACGTCTTACCTCTCGACGGGTTGCATTGATCACCTTCTTTGTTCATAAATTCTACTCCTCCCGCTCCAAAAAACAACATTCCATTGTCCAGACCACTGAACGTAAGCTCACAGAAATCTCCAGTAAAGCAGCTCTACTGTCTGACCAAAATGAGCAGTTGCGGCAGAAGGAGGAAGAGAACCGGCTTGGACTGCATGTGCTACAGCAGCAATATACTGAGCTACTTCGGGCCAACAAGGTGGTTGAGCATGAGAAGAATATGAAGGAGAACACAGTCAAGGTGAGGTCTTGCCTAGTGCTACTGTCTTTTTCTATGAACAACTTTCTCATCGGTTTCATCTACACATGATCTCGCAGCATCGAAGTCGCATTACTCTTCTTCCCATCATTATGTATGGCTTTACCGACGGTCCACGACACCTGAACTCCACGGCTGAGCGATTAACTCGGCCAACTAAGCTCACATTGATTCGAAAGGAATGAGCAGCAAGCGACTGATAAAGTGGGTGTAAATAGGTTTCTCAAGGCCCTTGAAACCCAACCTACTTGTCTGGAATGAAATCAGCTTAGTGTCTTTCCTCGTTCAGCTGTAGCGCACTTTCAGTGTCTAGCAGCTGTGCCACCCGATGTGAGGACAAGAGTTTGGGCACTGCAAGGTTTCCGTAACCTAGACAGGAGCAGTCTAAAACGGACCTCCGGGTTTGTGAGTTTGCAACCTAACTACTGAGCTATCCAGAGCTCAAGAATAGGTAAACTAATGAAGGAACCCATCCCCTCGGTTGGAAGCATCGTTCCCCTCTTAACTACATTTGTTAACCGACATTCTGGGTTTGGCCGTTTAATGCTTTAGAGGGGCGCACACAATTCATAGTCATTTTTAATGCTTTAGAGGGGCGCACACAATTCGTAATCGTCGTTCAGTATTGCTTAGTGACAGAGTTGCATCGTCATCAGGAGCACAGACACTAGTGCTTGACCCTGATGCATCTCTGTCGTACAACCATAAGGTAATTGAAAGTCTTATTGTGAAGAAGGGATTAAAAGCGGACGAGAAAGAGATCTCATATCAGGTCACCACAGTTATATCGAGTTTTCATCGTCTCCAGACACTTTGTCTGGGAGCAAACTGACGACAGAACGCTGTTGTCTTTGATTCGACCATATCTTGTAGCGTTCCAAACCAAGCATAGAGAGGATCAATAAAGGTCACGTGGTCCCCATCCTAGAAGACGAGTTGCACCAACATCGCCCAAACTATTCGTAATCGCCTCCATACCTCTCTGCTAGATAAAGACTGACCACCATTCTGATTCTGCCATTCTGAATCGGGCACTGGAAACAGCAACAGGTAACCAGGCCATCGCAGGTTTTGGTGCTGGATATATCCTCCGCTTGAAGTCTCTGCTACTCAACTGAACATTGGTTCCCTAATTCTCTCGTTGCGGATCTGTCGGTACCAGCTTACACGAGCAATGGTTCTGAGACAACCGTGGTCGAAGACCTGTTGTCAGAGGCAACGCCTTATAGCCGTGCAACAAAGCAGCCCGTGCTGTGGCGTGACATCCCCTGAGATTCGGGGCTATACGTTTTTGTGACCACGGGTGCCCCAAATGAACAAACGCGACGCGAGGCTTAAAGGTTTGTGCATTGACCTCATCTCTGACATCACGACCGGCACCTGTACAACTTCCAAGCTCTCCACAACCTCGGGTACTTCTCCATGGGTTTTAAGTGGTGTGTTAAGTGACTGCATATCCATTTGCATGCACCTACACTTTTTGGGTGCTGTACGCATACCAAAGAATGAGATTACTTTGGTCACTTTATCCAGAACCGTATGTGTCTTCTCCTCCCCAAAGAGTGTTGTCTGCATATTCCAGACCGACGAGATAATCGTCAACAACTACCTGAACACTGGGATTTTGAGGAATTTCTTTTGCGCGTCTCGTTTCGTTTTTTTTGTGTGAACCTGAATAACAGTAGAGAGAGAGTGGACACCTCTGTCATATTCACCGTACCGTTGTCACTCAAACACAGTCACCATCATCGAAAGCATGACATCAGGGTTCGACACTGATGCTTCGCTGCCGTACAACCGTCATTTATTTGAAAGCCTCGTTGTGAAGAAAAGGACAAAGATGGATGGGGGAGAGACTTAGTGCTAGCTTACTACAATCATTCCGAGCTGCCTACACCTGCAGACACTAATTCAAGCAATCTGGATAGCAAGTGACATCAAGACGTCGTTCAGCAGCCATATCTTACAAGGTCTCTAACCAAGCACAGTGTCCCTGTTCCCTAGAACAGTGGTCGCCCTTTTGGTCCGTACAGAGCTTTGATTCCAACAACGAACTCCCTGTAAGTCTAGGTGACGACCCAGGTTCTCTGGCGCCCATTAAGGCGGCGGCGCCACACTGGAAATGGCGAAAGAGCAAGTTTTCGAACTTCGCCTTTGAGTTTTCGCGCAACGTGACTGAACTATCAAATTTGTCACCCACGCAGTAGTTATCTGAGATGTGAAACGTGAAATGGCATCCACTAACCACCAAGATGAGTATTTATTCAGTCATTGAATGTTCGCAANAGTCTCATACACTACCCGGCTAAGTTTGACAACCCTGGATGTGTGCTTTTGAGGCATAAACTTTTGTACGCAAACTGATTTCACTTCTCCGTGAGATCTTCACGAATTGCATAAGGGACACGAATTCCAATCTCTTCTTTAACCTTCCTGTTTGGCAAAATTATAGAACCCAAGCATCGATATGCAGTGACGCGTTCAACTTCATGATATCCCATGTGAAGATTTACCTGTTGAGGACTTGTTTTCATGCAGAATAATTTTGTGTTATCGCAAGTTTTATGTGTTCTGCGTGGTAGCTGACTCAATCAAGATTGGTTTGTAGATTTGCGTTTTCGCTGCGGAAGGCAATGTTATCGCCACCTTCGAGGTCTGTAATCCAAATTCTTGGGCTCAGTTGGAAGTTAGTGTCCGTCAGTCATGAAGCTGAATAACACTGGTGATAAGGGGAATAATCATCGAACGCCAGAGGCGTTCAGAGGATCTTCTCCAGTTTGTTCTCATGGTTTGCATATGCAGGTGGACTTAGAACGAGCCTTCTCATCCATACCATGTAGGTTGGTTTTATTCTCTTTGACAATGGATTCTACTGGGCAAAATTCCAGAAGGAAAAAGAAGCCAAACCGTTCTTCAGCTGTGGTATCCTTTCGGTGCACAAATGCTTTGCAACCCGAAGGAAGCTGGACTGCTGGGTTACTGCCGGATTACTCAAACCTATACAAGAGATATCGGGACCAGTTTGTGGCCTGGCGTCTTAATCGCTGAGTTCTATCGAACTCTGGACCATATAGGTATCATCTGCTGACGTCATTGTTTGGCTATTCTACAAACAACACTTTGGAGTCATTGCCGGTTCGCTATTCAGCACGCTGTCTGCTCGCGCCTTACATTTAGTTCAAGTTTTTCCATTGTTTCGCCGTTTCGTGAAGCTCCTATTTCAGATCACGGCGTGCGCCATAGCTAGTCTCAACTAGTTGCACATAAAGTCAGCTATTTTGCATCTATTGGGACTCATCAATACTGCGCATATTATGATTTGAACAGTGTATCAGTTAGGAAACTACTCACAAGTTTGCTGAAACGAGAGATTCGTTTGAGCCTCCCGCGAAAACCAAATTCATACTCAAACGAGTGTATTTATCGAAAAGTATAGAAGTTAGATCTTCTGGTTAAAAATCCAACAATATAATGTATTATACAATCATGATATGACTCGTGTGTGTTTGTGTTTCTAACTACCCTGTTTTTTCCACTTTCTGAAGCATTTGGAATCTGAAAAGAAAACTCTTCTTGTGCGTTTGGAGATGGCTACCGCAGAGGTGAATCGACTGAAAGCCGAAAGCGAAGCCGAGGCAAATAAACTGCGTGAGCAGCTGAACGAAACGCAGTCGAAGCTAGCGGCCGTCGCGTCAGCCAAACCTGCTGTCCCCAATCCGGAACTGGTGCGAACGCAAGAACTGGCTCAGGTGTGTTAAACCTCAATTCCCGACCAAACTAATCCAATGAGATCAAATTAGTCGCGGTCAGCGTATGAATGATGTGATGATCTTTTTGTAGAAACCTGTTGATCACAAATAGAACCAACTGTTGGCATTCAACGTCATACGAAGACTGCATATTGACTGTCCACATTCATCCTGCTTCTTTATAAAATCATATCCCCGACTCTGGACGGTTCCAAAAGGAAAATCAAAGCATGTGTACTCTTTTTATCCAAAGAATGTGGATAGGATTTCCGACATCTTCCCGATACTTTCTTTTGTTCGTGCATTCATGTGTACGGCATCCCAGAAATACCAACCTTTGTCAAACCGCCTGTCGCTATCTGAACCATGAACGGCAAATCCGGTCAACTATTTGTTTTCGTTCGCAGGGATTCACAGACTTCTTCATTCCCTGAGAATGGCAACCAGAAATTTTATTTCTCTAGAGGCTTTGCCTTCCCAGAAACCTTATTGTTTCTTCACTCGTGTGTTTGATTTTTATCGATCAGGTTGAGCCGGACTCTATTAGAGTGATAAGCACCGATAAACGTTGAAGTGGTTCACTTGCTCTCATTCCTTATTATCCTGGGTTTTTGGTAAAACCTCTCAACCTGGGTCCTGTCTCTAGCCTCAGTGCAAATGAACACGGGAATGCGGTGCCTATCGACTTTTTTTATCATGAAATGATTCTTTACTAAACTTCACTTATGACCTTCATAATGAACACGGGAATGCGGTGCCTATCGACCTCTTTTATCATGAACTGGTCCTTTACTAAACGTCATTTATGACCTCCATATTCCTGTGTCGAGGTTGGCCTCCCTATCCATGGTATATTACTCCAAATCGGGATTCTTCACCTGCACTCCACGGTGCACGACATTACATCACTTCGACGAATTGGTCAAATCAGTTTAGGCTGGCCGTGTACTCATCCTCCGGTTGAATAGCCTGAGTTGATGAGTTAAGTCTGAGCATGCATGTCGTAAGTTTCCCTAAAGAGTCTATTATATCGCGGCATGGGTGATAATGTTCTGAATTCTCCGGAGAAGACACGACTATACCGGCAGCAACGGTTCGGGCCAGTAGGCTAAGCTATTCACCCTGCTGCGTTACCTAAAGCAAACCGGCAACCCGACAACATGGGCTACCAGCACTCATTCCTATGTTGTCCGACCCTTTTATGATGCCTCACTGTCAAATCGATGCGTCTCCTAGGAGAATCGGTCTGATAAATCATCATCGATATCAGATTATTTCTGAAGACGGACTTTTGATGAAGTTAGCCAACTAGAGCCAAGCTTGAGAGCTGTCGTGAGCCAAAAGGTCCTTCTGATGTTCTTATGTACTTTAGTGGTCGATTGTAAACTATTTACAAACGGTGCATTAGTTCCAACTGACACAATAAGCATTTGATGTGGGGTCTCTCTTTTCCGTGATCCCAATCCATCAGTTATTTGCATGATGCTTCCTCACAGTGCCGCGCACGTCTTTCTAAGTCCCATGTTGTACCTACTACGCATCCGTCTGTTCTCCCCCCCCCCACAGCTGATGTCGAACGAAAACCGCTTGCTGAAGTCCAGCTTGGATATGCGGAAGGCAGAATTGACTCAACTGCGTCAGTCACATTTGCGACAGCAGCAGGAACTACAGGTAAATATGCTTAATCGCTTCGTTTTGGTCCAAGTGGAAGTCTGCTGTGGGGGCGAGATGGCCCAAGTGGTTAGAAGGCGAATTTACTGACCGGAAGTTCCGTGGTTCGAACCCGACCTATGGCTGTCGACTTTCCCTGTCTAGGCTTGGGCAACCTGGCAGTATCCCAGCCCTCTTGCAACCTTCGGGTGGCATGGCAGTTACGCACCGAAAGGGTGCTACAGCTGAACGATTTCATTTCATTTCTGCTGTGCACACAGAACTAGCGTTTCTAGATTGTGTTTGTTAAATTAGCAACAATAACTGACCTTCGCCGACAGGATTCTTGAACATGCTTAGACAGTTTCATTTGTTCCGAAACCACATACACATATAGGTGGTAAAGTTGACTTTTCAACGTGATGCATTCCAGTTTGTGCACCGTTTCGGATGAATTAGAAGCCCCGGAGGCGTTCTTGTGGACTTGTACGTGGCAATCATGAGGTCAGCCACAGTACAATGTTTGTGGCTGTGACAGCCATACGGACTTGGCTACGTGTTCAATACTGAGATGTCAGAGTGCTGTTCTCACTCGGCAGTGTATGAGAACGTGTCATTTTCTGTTTGACGTTTGTTAGACACACTAGCCTGAATCATGCTTAACAATCAAAACATAATATGCCTTGTGCACTGCATTTGCTATAGACTGCGTACTAACAATGTGCAGTGGTTCCAACTCATAAGCAGCAAGAGCAACTAATAAAGTACCGTTTGATTTGCGGTTGTCTCCGAACAGGTTGACAGTAATCGGCAAGTTTGGAGTTGGAAATTCCCGGATTAACAAGAAGCCTTCGTTAACGACTCAATGAACGATCCACTGTTAAAATACAAAATGAAGCGCAGGCAGCAAGGTGTGACAATTTGCTTATCATCATCGGCGTGTTGATGACCTTTTCGTCACATGCGATTCAAATGTCGGTGTCGAACATGGTCTGCCTCACTGTAACTCAGCGCATCCACCACTCAGTTTCTCGTTGAAAGCATCGTTCAGCTGTAGCACCCTTTCGGTGCCTAACTGCCATGCCACCCAAAGGTTGCACGAGGGCTGGGATACTGCCAGATTGCCCAAGCCTAGACAGGGGAGTCGAGAGGCAGAGGTCGGGTTCGAACCACGGACCTTCCGGTCAGTAAACTCGCGCTCTAACCATTTGGACCACTTTGCCCCTCGTTGAAAGCATAGGAGGCAGTTAACTTCCCATTTCTATATCTCACGTCGAAGACGGGGGCCGAAGGAGCGTTTACTCTGAAGCCACGTGTTCAATACCCACACTAACTTCCACAGTTTTATTGGCTTGAAGTTCAAGCCCATCTTGGTAGTGGATACGGCAAATGAAGCTTGAAAATTTTGCTTGGGTGGCATGCGAAGCTCAGAACTCCTGTTCTTAACCTAGACTTTGGCGTAATATAGTTACCAAGATGGGTTTATTTGCCTTCACCTGGAGGTACCTACTACCGTCATGTTGCCAGGCTGTGCGAATATGCCGAAAAAACCTTTGCTCATACAGTTACCATTCAAAAGTGACCTAGTTTCTCTTTCTTGCCCTCTGTTCCCACACTTTTGGTCGTGCAGGGGTTTGCCGTGCGACAGTCTTCTCACAGCTAGTTCCGTTTGGCCAGGCTGCCCCCGCCTTCTGTTCGATTTTTGTCATTGGATAATAATCATTCATCTGTACCTTCTTTTCGGTGCCTAGATCCATGCTACCCGATACAAGCCCGAGGGCCGAGATACTGCTAGTTTGTTCATGCGTAGACCCGGGTAGTTGAAATACCGGGTTCGAACCACGAATCTCCCGGTCCGCACCTAAAACCACTGGGTCATCCCGTGTTGTGTCAATCCAACTGATAGCACCTCACAATAAAATGATGTGTCGCTGTTCCGTAGCAGATCGCTCACTTCAAAAATAAAAGACCGGTCCACGATTCTCTCATGTTGATGTACTTATTCGTTTGTGAATTTAGCGCAACTTATGTTGGTCGCACAGTCAAATCCTTGTGGCGAGGGATGGCTGAGCACAACTGGCGTGGATTAGAATGAGACAGTCGAATCAATCACAGCCCAACCAGTTGACAGCAACAATCAGGTCAGATTAGCGGACCCATTCAACACAATTTATCACGTGTCATCAAACAGACTAAAAGCCGTCACCGGTGTGTTCTGGTGGTGGTTGGAGCCAAGGCCATTCAGCTGTACAATTCAGACTCTTGTTCTATAGACTAGAATGTGGAGGACTTCTGTCGGCCATTCTACAAACAGTTGTTTTTGTCTCCTCGTTTTACATCGCATAATCGTTTTAATTTGTATTTAAACGGTGAGTTGTCGATAAGGGAAGCCTATATGTTCACGCTCAGTGTGGTTTCGGAGTAATCCCCTCCCATTCGTCCCTTGGCCCTAGCTCCCTAAGAGTAGATATTCCATCGATTCCACACACTCACTGATTAGAGCATTCCTCACCCTCACCTATAATGCGCATCGCCTCAGTTCGTTCGAAAATCGAACCGGGTTTGCAACGGTTTCGTCCCGAGATGTGATTAGGATGAGCACCGAAGAAATACGAGAGCTATTACTGCAGACAAGCTGAACATATTCAGTCCCATTTCAATTGATATTTCATCGCTAGCTTGATCGTAATCCTCATCTCGAATTCCTTCCTGCCTGTCTGTTCCCTCAGGCATTTCAAGTCGAAAATCTGAAGCTACGTGAAAGTCAAGATACAGCAATTGAGGAGCTTCAGGCCAAATTTCAACAGGAGTAAGTTCTCAGCATTCTTTTCCAGCATCGTATGGACTGGTCGTTTGCTTGATATGTGTGAGAGTTTCCCTGTTGGTGACTGCCCCATGGCTCGGCGAAAATGTCTTGCCGAGAGGTGGTCAGCCATTGAATTGCTCGTATATGTGAGTGGATATTGTGGGATGTAGCGAAATACGTCCTTTCCGACGGAATGGTCGCTGATGAGAGGAACACTGCGCGAGGTAATCGTAGTGCCAATCAGTTCTGTTCAGTCCAGTCGTTTTTCAAGTCAGTAGAGCGGTGCTTCAACCAAACGAATGGGAAGCCCATTGTAACTTCTTATCCTATTCAAAATTTAATTAGATGAAGACAAGAAGAATTCAAAACGGATGCGAGTAGTTATTCCCAGACTCCTGTCGTGCTCATGTCTAGTGACACTTGTCTTTGAACTTTTAGTACCCGACTAAAATTCTACTCCAAAGGTGAAAACGAGAAGCACTGTGTAGCTTTTAATCTTTTTGAAACTTTATGATCCTCGGATCAGTTTGAACAAAACAGGAGGGAAGAACACGAAATGAATTTGTCTGGCACCGGCGTTATTCTTACAACTTTGTTTCACCCTTGTTGCGGTTGTCTAACAGTGTGCATTTCACGAATCTGTCACGAACCTGAGATCTCAGTTGGTAACCGAACTCTGCATGCTTAGGAATGATTGACCAGCATGTGATTTGCTCACACTGAGGGTACAGCACTCTGCGGCTTGGTTGATACACCAATATCAAACCTGTTTACCTCCGAATCATACAACTTACTCTAGGGTTAGAAGCGGTAGCCCTAGACAGTTTTTTATGGAGACAAAAGGAGAATCATTACATCTATATTTATGGGGTAATCACAGTTTTCCACAAGGTGGTGCTGGAATCACCATGAGGGGGCGAGAAGCGGCGAACCAAAGGTGCTGGACTCGGATTGGCCGACATTCTGACCAATCAGAGCATGCCTTCGTTTGGTCTGTCCTGCACGTGACACATCCGTCCAAATGGTGTGATGTTGGGTTATTAAGGACGGCTGGTCTCCGTACAACATTGAGCGACATTAACATTTGACTACAATACTACAACAATTGTAATAAGTCGACACTTGCAGCCCAGTGCAGTCTGTCCGTGTTTGAGGCCTGCAAGTGGTCATAGCGAAATATTGGACTTTTGTGTTACCCAAGGAATAGTGAGTTCGCATTATATCCGAGCAATTTTCAGACGGAACCGTTCTATGGGGTTTATTCGGCTTAAGAGATTTGGCGAAACACTTCCTCGAGAACGTTTCTATGGGTTGAAAATTATACCCAATTGAACGTACCTAATACAGTCGTGAGCATGACAACTAAAAGCATTCTCTTGCCACATCCGTCGTCCTGTGGTGTCATCATCCGAGTTGCTCTACTTGTTTCATACAGCAGGGCCTGTAAGCGGAAATTTGCTACTACCGACACACCCTTCCTACACTTTCACATATTCTTTCTTCTACCCTACCCCACCCTAACGTAAATACTCCTTCTGCAGGTCCCAGTCCTGGGGCTGATCGCCTTGATCGTCATGCTCAGCTGCAAGCTTTATGCGTCCGACTTTACTAACAATCCCAAACACCTTCGGACCTCTCAAACCATGTAAATAATAATAATAATAATAATAATCGTTCAGCTGTAACATCCGGTGCCTAGCTGCCATGCCACCCGGAGGAAGCACGAGGGCTGGGATACTGCCAGATCGCCCAGGCCTAGACAGGGGAAGTCGAGTGGCAGAGGTGGGATTCGAACCACGAACTTTCCGGTCAGTGAATTCGCGCTCTAACCAATTGGGCCATCTCGCCCCCATGTAAACCCGTCTACTTAGCTGTCTTTAAATTCTCCGCACTGCAACAATCAGGACAACAGGCGCCTATTCATCGTACCCTGGATTCCTTGTGTATTGATGTATACTACCTTTCAGGAGCAAGGATCCAGAAAGCAAGTATTGTAATCGGACTGACTACCCGCTCGCTCTTTTCCCGCTCTCGGCCGCGCAACTCTGGTGACGCGAAGGCCGCTGCAGTTGCGCATGCTGGAGTAGATATTTTGTTGGGCTATCCAGTGCAGAAGTCTCGACGTGATGTGATACCCATAGATGATCACTTCTGCAATTTTCGTTTGGTAACTTCTGTGGAAGAATCTCAAGTGTTTTTTTACGATGGGCTCAGAGCCAGGACATCTTTGTGGTGGCTGGTAATATGAATGCTCATGTGGGTTAACTAAGCGCTGCTGAGAATTTATTGGGTGATCATCTTGGGTTGGATCATGGGCAATGGAGAGCGCCTACTGCATATGTGTGTCGATTACAGACTATTCTTTTACGGTACCGAATTCCGGTCCACCAACAAACCAGCCATGAATCCAAATAAACCAGGTTGTAATCAGTTGTTGGTGGCGAGGGTCGATCACTGCGCACCGCTGCTTCCGGAATACCTTCGTGAACTGCGACCATGCACTTGTGCGCTGCTGCTTTTCATTGCACTTTTCAGGTCTACGAGAAACTCGCACACCTCGCTTCACCATTAAGAAGCGGTTTAATCCACCCAACCTCATCGAAGTACTGGTTCCCTGGTAAGATGTTCATTTCGCTGGAATCCCAACAAAGTATTTCTCCTGGTCTCAACCACAACTCAGCGTGACACATTATTCGACACCAGGTAGAACTAAGTATCCGTTCGGACTAGGAAGTTTGCTGAATCCGAACGGCTGAAGAAACGAAAAATGCTGGAAATTTCCACAGAATGTTCCACTTGATTCGCCTGACTAGTCTTCGGAAGCTTCTCACACTCACATCGAATGTAGTAAGCACAGGAGCGTCAGCCTTGTGATAAGACTTATGGCGTCACTGATTCTTCGTCATCGTACGACGGCACGCCAGGCCCCGAAGCCCTGAACGACAAGCGTGATTTCGACCGGGTATAGGCTGCGTCGATCACATCTTTATGCTCTATCAGATGTTACAGCAATGTCACATGTCCAGACCACCCAGAATGTTTGTCTCTTGACTTTAAGGGCGCGTTCGATTCCGTCTGTCGGTCAGCGCCGTTGACCACACTTGCTCAGCTGGGGATGCCTCAGAACATAACCCGGTTTCTAAATTCACATTCACTCTCCAAAAGCTTCCCTACAAAAAGTAGTGTCCGACAAGGCAGTCCACTCTCTCCATTCTTGTTCAACTTCATCTTCAACAAACTAGTGTCTTCGAAACTCCGGCGTTTAAATCGTTGCCGGTGAGAGCCCTGTCGATCCAGACTACGCAAACGATATCGTCCTCACATTTGAAGACGGAAGCCAAGGACGAGAACCGTTTCGGCATGTGCCTTCTACCTACATAGTGCAGTATCCGACTACGTCCCTTGCAATCCATGAAGAAGTTGTGTCGAGTTTTACATACTTCGCTAGTTTTGTTTGCTCTGACGGAAGCGTGTCCGATGGAGTTGGTGCTCGGATCTCGTAGGTTCGAATCACGTTTGTCAGTTCACGTCATTTATGGTTTCAAAAAGGCATACGATTGGGTCTCAAGGGTCGCTTCTACAAAGCTGCTGCAAAGGTTGTATTGTTGTTTGACTGCGAGACGTGTTACCAGGAATCAGACCCCTGTGTGACCCCCCCCCCCCCCCGAGTCCATCTGTCACATCACTCAACAACGCTAATCGATGCCCCCTAATGCTGTTAGTGTGGAATCTTACTGGTTGATTTTAATCCTGGCGCTCAACCAACCTTTCAGCCTAATTACTTGGTCTGATGAAGCTTTCGTATGAAAACCGGAAAATTTCGGAGCAATCAAGCTACTAATTATTTCCGATGCGAACGCTTCTCACGCTTGTCTATTTCGACCACAGCCGGGTTCTGTCTGGAGGCCAGCCGTCCCTAATACCCGAACATCACATCATTTGGACGGATGTGTCACGTGCAAGACACGGACCAAACGAAGGGATACTCTGATTGGCTACAATACCAGCCAATCCGGGTCGAGCACCTTTGACTCGCAGCTTCTCGCCCCCTCACGGAGATCCTAGCACGACCTTGTGGAACGCTCTGTGATTACCCTATAAATACAGTTGTAATAATTTCCCTTTGTCTTCATGAGGGGCTGTGTGGAGCTACCGTGCCTTTTGTTATACCATCGTGTGCGGAGCAGGAAGTCAAGGGACTGATAAAGAGTTGCACTACCGTTCAGCAAGACACAACAGGTTCAAACCAGCTTATCACTAGCGAAAAGTTGGAATTTTCTAATTTATTCTTTACCGTTCCAATTTTGACGCCAAATTCGCGTACACTTGCCCATTTAGGTTCTGATAATAGAGAGGAAAGGAGCCGTTGTGTTACCGTTTCTATTCACTTTCTACATATTCCTAAAGCTTAACACCGATAAAACTGCGGTTGTTAGAGCATATTCTATACCACTGGATACTTACTGGTTTGGGCAGGAACCTAAAACTTCGTGCCAGTGGACAAACGATGTTGTACTACTGTTTAACCGACCCAAGTGTACCGAAATTGTGTTCACACTGAGACAGGCCATTCCACCTATCGGGACCCTATCTACTATATATCTACTACTTTGTATCATCATCTCGTGTGACTTGACATGACAAACACATGAAAAACACAAATTCGGAGGCTGAGTTAACTCATACAACGAATTTCTTCTCTAAATATCGCTATTACACTTGCTACCTCCTTACCGGTCATTTCATACTGTTCACTCTGGCACATTTTGTTGGCTTGCGGTAACCTTTCCCTTAGTTTCCAGGTGGATTTTCACACACCCACGAATGTCTGTGCGAACTTTCTCTCTCATTGCTTTTCCCATATGGTCAGCCGACTCCCCAAGCGAACAGCATCCATGTGCAAGATCATCATTGACGAATAAAAACTCCGCCGTTCCATATCTCGCTCACCTGATGACCTCAGAGCCGAAGTTTTAGTACTAATACTCTTGTTGTTTGTTCTTCATCGCACAACTTTCGTCCCGCCTGGCCCCTCTTTTATAAATACTTCTTAGGTTACCACTTGCTTCTTCAGTTTCGGATATGTACTGTTTATATGACATACGTCCGCCTATCCTGGTTAAAAATAGCCGTCTGAAGCTCGAGTAGGAAAAATTTCTTGTCAATCATTTGAAGTGTGCGTACGCAGTCGTTCTAATACTTCGTGGCCAAAGTCATTCCCCTATACGCTACATCTTCTGCCCTCAGGCGCGCGGAGGCTAATTCACGGATCGCGTCATACGAGGCCCAACTTCAACGTCAGTCACATGAGTTCGAATTAGAAAAACAGGTAATTGATTTGTGTTTAATGTATTCAAACTTTGCCGTCATATGTTATGAATATTTACGTGTTATCTGAGTACTCCGACGTTTGGAACATAATTGGAGAGGTTCCAGACTTTAGGTTTCCGGAGTGCTCATCTTTTTTAATCACATGATCGTGGTAACTCCCACTCTTCCTCTTGTCTTCTTCTGATACCTTCACACCCACCCACATCTTGTGAAGTTGCAACCATTTGACGGCCAGAGGCAAGTGTTGATACGGATTTTCTGGCAGTGACTTCTTTTTGGTAAAAGGCTTTCATAGATGGACGAGATCATCCAATCCTAGATAGGAGTAACCGAAAGGCCGTGGAACACTCCGAGCACGCGCCTCCATGCCAACTCGACTTCTCGTGACTTTTAGTCTGCACCTGCTCTTTGTGGATGGATTCTTGTTAACACAGTTTATTTGTGAGTATGCATAACTGCTGATTGATTAGGGTTCCAACGATGGCGACACTCCAGAACGCACCAACTTATCAAGACCAATCCGTTCCCCCAAGGTAGCAGGTGTTTCTGGTGTTATTGGTATTTTTTGGTATTCATTTATAGCTTGCCTTACAACCTAAAGCCTGTCCAAAAAAAATTAGGAGCAAGCGAACAGGCCACCCTGCTTAGAGCCTATGGCCTCTCAACCTAAACTCGGGTTTCATCGATCTCGTTGCGTGTTAGAAGTCACGGGACCATTAGCTTCTTAAGAGGCGCGTGGATTGTTTAGCCTAATTACGCCACATCGCTCCATTGTCATTTGTTCTTGGGACGGTCACGTGATGCGAATGCAACGTCACATGCCATACCATTGGTGTCACGTCCCTGCCACTCAAATTCAGCAGTGGTTTCCTCGTATGATCACCTACACTTTATATAAGTAGCAAGTCTGGGAGTATTACCACCACTTTATCTGGCGATGTAACTCTGGTGCATTCAAGAGTCCATTCCTATTTGCTGGTATTCCGACAGACTCCCAGCTTCCAGTTCACCAAGATCCTTCTACCACAGTTCGGTTGTTTCGATCCATTCTTACTTTCATAGGAACTGTCGCGTACCCTCGCAGAAGTCAAAGGTGAATTGGCTTCCCGAATGGACAGAGAAAAGCGGCTTTCGGAGATTATTTCAAGCTTGGAATATCAATTTGCAGTAAGTTGATCATCTGTTTTTGGCTTCATATAGCATTCGATGCGCTTTTTCCATTTTCCCCCATAAGTGCTTTTTATAGAAGTTAGTACCATTTAGTTTTCAAGTGGGAACCAAGGCTGATGGTAACTCGAAAACTACGCCTACCTAATGAGCCTCAAGAAGGGTTGAACTGATCAAAGTGTTCTCCGCAGGAAAGTGGACATCTTGATGTTTAATTTTGAATCCCTCCTTTGTTTTACTGTTGGGTTTGTGCTTTCAGAATATCGGCGCTAACGGTCATCAGGATGTGGAAATAATTTATGAGTCTCGGCAGCTGAAATTGTGGTTGAAAGGGCGTTGTCGTTTGGTATGCGGTCAAGAAACAAGTTTAGTAAATCGTCGGTGAGTATGTCCATCTGATGGGCCTCCAGACGGGCGAAATCGATAACAGCTTGTTGAGTGGTTTCAACAGCCTTATGAGTAATGTGGTGTATGGTGTAAGATTATGTTTTAGACTGGATATCCAAGAATTACCTCCTCTCACATAGCGGAGACGTTGACGCCCCTGTGTATCTTTTGGAGTACTATTAGAATCATCCACGGCGGGGCAGGAACTCTCTAAGACAAGTATCCAATCCCCAAAAGGCCTCTAACAGCTACACAGGGGTTAAAAGTCCAATTAAACGTCATGTCCAGATCATTTTACTTTGTCTTTTTCGGTTTAAATCTACATGAATTATGTTAAGATCTCCGAAAGTCTAATAAGAAATAGGGTGTATGTCAGCTGACGTAACGCTAACTGTATTACGTCTCTTCAGAAGCCTTCAGCATAGGTTGCGGAATTCCAACGCCATTCATCAAGACCTGGTGAGCTTAATGTCTATTTGAACTGTGGATAGGTTTATCAAACCTACAACGTCTCCATTCGTGCTCTAGAAAACGTGTCAAATAGCAGCTTTTAACTTGTCAGTTTTCTGCGCTTCGAGCGCAGTGATCACACGCCGAGCCGTCCTACTGAAATACTGCTTTGGATTCGCAAAGGTGAGTCTTGCCGGTAGGCGTCCTGCTTGCAACACTTGTCTACCCATTTTGCTGCTCATGGTTGTGTTTAGCAAGTAAATGCCTTCCAACTCAAGTCACCAGAATAACTTGAAGGCTATAGACACTAAACCTGTAGCGGCCATCATTTTCCGAACACGTTTACAAAGCCGCACAGAATGAAGGAACGAACGGTCGCCATACCTGACAAAACTGAGGCAGTTGGCCAAGTCGGTTGGCCTCATGATCACCCATGGGATCGTGAAGCGATGAGGCTTCTCGTGGGAAAAACCAACTAAAGTATCCATTGGGTTCCACGAAGTCGCATTGGAAGATCTTTTGCAAGCATTGTAACTGTTGCCTAACCTAGTTCCTTCCTAAATGTTATGCTCGGGTACCGCGTAAATGGATATTCCAATCTGCCCTTCCGTCTAATACCAATCTTTCAATGGAACAATGAACTTTTAATGGACGTAGTTTTATTCTATTCGCTTGGAACACAACCAATGCACACCTTTTTTCATGAAATTGGAGAGAGTTGAGGGGCTTCATCTAGGTTGGTCAACGAGAATATATGCTAATAGTACTAAAACATGCATGTGAAAACGAAACTGTAGATTCACAGTGTAATCTGATGTCCTGCTGCACATGTTGTGACTGAGTTAATCCGATACGTTGAAGGGCTGTCCTCGCAGTGTAATCTGATGTCCTGCTGCACATGTGACTGAGTTAATCCGATACATTGAAGGGCTGTCCTTCTGCGAACCATTTCCTGCATACCAGGGCTAGAAAACTTGGACAATTGTGAGGTGGTGTTCATAGTAGAGAGGCTGTCTCGCATGTAGGACATCCATACTGGTAGTAGAGCATCGTCCAGCTGTAGCACTCTTTCGGTGCCTAGCTGCCATGGCACACGAAGGAGGCACGAGGGCTGGAATAATGCCAGGTCGCCCAAGCCTAGACAGGGGAAGTCGAGTGGTAGAGGTCGGGTTTGGACCACGGACCTTCCTGTCAGTAAATTCGTGCTCTAACCACTTGGTCCATCTCGCCCCCCCCCCAGAGAGCATGCAGGTCCGCGTGTACCACCTAGGCTCACAGATGAGCCCAGAATAAATAATTGTTTGTGTAAATTCGCTCTGCGTTAATTGGAGATCCTATTCCCCTCTTGTTTCACAAGGAATTGAACGCTGAGAAACAACGTCTCTTGGAGAAAGTGAAAAGCGTCAAAGCTGCGAATGAAAGTTCGAACAGTGAACTTCTTATTCAGGTGGCAAATCTGTCCAATGAGTTGACACGCACAACATCCGAGCTGCACAAGACTCAACAACGCGCGGATGCCGCGACTGCCGAACTGGAACACCTCAAGGCAGGTTCGGTACAACCGCATCTCCTGGAAGCCCGTGCAACTGCTGCAACTCAAACTGTTAGTGGAGACTGTCGGTTAAAGAATACGCAAGACACCGAGTCTCACAAACTGGTGGAAGAGTTGCGGGCAGAGCTGGTGACCACTATGCGTGAACTGAAATCCACAAAGAATGATCTTGCTGCCTCGATGACTTTACAAGAAGCCACTCAATTGGAACTAGAGCACTACAAGGTGAGCTCGTCTCAGCGAACTTCTGATCCATGCCCAGCCTCGAGGGCTAGTACTCTGTATGACACGACTTTTTTTCCATCTTTCCCATAACGACAGTCTACTCTTATGCATACGGAGGAGCTTTTGGCCAAGCTTCAGGTGATGGTGGAAGAGTCCGAGTCCAGGTGGCGGAAACTTTTGTCCGACTCGGAGTCTGAGCGTGACCGACTGCGAAAACAGCTTGCACTGGCTCTTTCTAAAACCGCACACGTGAGTCTTTTGTCACAATTAAGTACTGAAAAATTTCAGACATGTCAACTAGTCCTCTCGCGAAGTCGTGGGTGCGAAATTACCTCCTTTCCTACAGGTGCAGCTGTAGAAACAGCCTTTCTAGCGGATATTTCGTCCCGTAAGTGATGCCACTCAATCTAAGCACTATACGGCCGTTTCATCCTTATTGGGATGAGCCAGTCAACACGTGACCACACGATGTTGATTCCATGATTGAAGGACGACTGATGCTATATCCCGTCTACTTGGGAGTTAATCACAATACTACTGAGCCCATCGGGGCCAAGCGCTTCAGTGTTCGAACTAGTAGCCAGGAGTTCGCCGGTTTGAGACTCCCTAGAGTTTCTCGAGATACGTACCACTGATGATTCTTAATAAGGATGAAACAGCTGTATAGTGCTTCTCCGCTTTTTAACATATATTATCTCCACTTCTAAATTTCCGTCAAAAATATCCTCATACAACCAAAAAAACAGCCTTTCTGAGTTGTTATATGTGGTAGATGTGATGGTCATCGGTGCTTGCAGACGCATATTGATGGCAGAGTATGACTCACTGGTATTGAGCAGTGGGACATTAGTGATCTACTCTCGACCAAACTGTATTGCCCAGCGAAAGACAAGCTCGTGGTGGCCTCATCATGAAAACCAGCGTCGTTTCGACCCTTTCGACGAAGTGTATGGCGGCACTATCGTCGAGGCTGTATATTATTTCCAAACTGTTGAACAGTGTTGGTACTATTTCATCCATCTTGCCTTATCGACTGATTTGCTCAGGTTTCGCCTCTTTACCCCCCTCACAGAAATCAACTTTTTCTGTACACGCAACGACAAGGGAGTGCGAGCAAGTGCTGATGTGCTGACCGATTTCCCGTAGATAGATGGACTCGGAAAGCTTTTTCGAAACACTGACCTCCCGACAGCTTATTCGCTAAGCTTTTCTATGTGGGACTATTAGTTTCCTACTTGTGTTTTGGTGAGCTGGTACTGCGTGCTGCTTCTCACTGCCCCTGAGCAAGTGCAGACTGAATGGATAGTAAGGTATAAAAAAGATAAATAAAACTTGGCACACAAACAAAAGTGCCTAGTTGGAAAGTGGTTTGACGATCTTCTCTCGGCTGTGTCGTATACAGTTTAGTCATCGGATCACATTCTCCATTCATCCAAAACCCAGTCTCACATTCCTCTTGTTGTGTCAGATTCTTGTAATGTGAACAAAATTGATTCTTCCGTTGTCCAACTGCTCCCCACGATAACGACTACCGGTTTTTTCACTTCCTCATCTCCGCGCCCCTGTTTTCCTCACCACTAGATGGCCGAGCGGTTGGAACGAACTGAACAAAAGCTGGGCGTGCAGCGGCGACAGAGCGGTCGACCTCAGGTCTGTTTTATGGATTTCTATGCACGCCGGCTTCCCTGAAACATCAAACATCAGTGTGTCCTCAGTTGACCTTATACTAGTCATGGGACGGCTTAATTATATTCCGCTAGTCCCTTGGTTGATTTTTGCTTGAAGTTGAGGATTGTCCCTTGATTGTTAGGGTTAGATGCTATTTGTTGTAAAGCTACGGTCAGCCTGCGAATGCAACGGTCCTGTAAACGAGTTCCGTTTATCTATTCGTTAGTGGCAATGTGGTCACGTAATCCGGAACGTTGTGTCGATGACCAACTCTGAGTTCCTCCGTACCCGAAATAATGAAGAAATTTGAATGTAGCGTATAATTGCTTGCGGGATTCCTTTTACAACTCTCCTAGATAGTTCTTTGCATTTTGTATCTGCTTGTCCATCCATCGGCCCATCACATCGAAATGTCGAAACTGTCTACGGCCATCTGTCTTCCTTTGGCATCAAGTAAGATTAGGCTGACTTTGCGGTCGGCTTGTTTGAATCTGTTTTGATCCTGTTGAGGCTCTGTCATGTTTTTACTTCCGATAGTACCACGTAGTCTTCTGCATTTTTTTGTCTAGATTGTTTTTCACCTTTCAGAAACGGGCATCGAAAAACTCAAGGACGCCAACCTCACCGTGGTCTGAATCACCAACTCTTCAGATATCAATCAACGAGGATGGTTGCGTCACCCCCGAAGTAGGTCTTTTTATTTGTATGATGTATTTACATGTATATATATATGTATATATATATATATATAGTATATATGATCCATACCATCACTGAGTTCTTTGTACGTGAGAGTGCTTCGCCTATCATGTGTACAACCGAGTCAATGGGCTAAACTCTTTTGAGTGGGAACCCCGTTATAACCGCTTTGAGATGGGAACTTATTTACACCAGCCCAGTAGCCTGGTTTTGTTGCGCTCATGTCTTCCAACTTCCCGTGAAATCGATCTACTAATTTGTGATTGCCGTTTTATTGCCCATAGATTCGAAAATAAACGGAACGTGTTCCTACCAGAGAGGGGACATTTTCTCGAATGAACGTCGCTGATAAGTCTTATACGTAACAACCTCGACATTTTAAATTTGCACGTGAGATGAGTTTTTTTCTGTCGTGTCAATGTCTGTGATACCACACGTACCAAACGGGGTCTACCCACGCAGGAAACTTTTCCAACTTACGTCTTAGCAGTACCAGAAAGCTGCTACTCCTCCAGCTGCTACCCAGTTCCTGAACTAGCTCAATATTCCGTCGCCTCCAATACTTGGCTCCAACACCCCACCATTTTACGGTGATGGAAACTCTAGCAGCTAGAACAAATGTACATGGTTTACCAGAATATGTTACACTGGTAGCCATCTAATCTACCATTAATGGACTAGGAGCTCACAGTCGGCTTCTACACCCAGAAATTAGAAGGGTATCCTCTCCAGGATTCCAATAATACCCCCCGTGTGTGTGCTCACGGTGTGCTCACCACGGGCTCTTGTCAGGTATTAGTTCTGACAGGGATGTGATGAACAGTCAACGCACATCTCAAGGACCGGAAATTGAGCCACTTGTGGCATATCATGCCGTGTGATGAATTAAGTCTCGATGTCCCTAGATGAGGACCCTGGGATGCAATTCATCAATTTATAAAACTGGTACACGTGGCTCCATTACGCAGTTAGTGGTGCACCTGCATCAAGGCTATCTCGTTGAATGTGTAGCTATCAAGCCTCCCGTTTCCTCAAGTAACTAGAGTGCTTCAATACGAACCAATTAAGAATACCATCCCCTCCAGTACTTGGACTTATCTCTCTGTTCTTCTATTTTCCGCTGACCGAAACTGTTACAGCTGGAACTGATTAAATGACTGACTGATCATTTGGTCTCAAAGGACACGTGCATCAGATTACAGCTATAAACCAACCTATTGTTTACCGAACCTTTCTGAAATGAGGAATGTAACGGAATGTCTGGGTGCTGCCGGTTAAGCTTCTCTTCTAGAATGCATCCACGTGACCCTCTCCATGCTTGATTAGAAATAGTAAAAAATATGGCAGCTAACCAACGTCAGTGGCACTCATGTTGTCACCTTCTATCCAGATTGTCTGACTGAATGTTGAATGTTTGTCGTGGGCTAGTCCTGGTTTCCAGCCCTGTCCTATTATTTTTCTTTATTCAAATAATCTGGTGTAGTTGTACGGCAGTGAAGCGCCAGGCTTCGTTCACCGAGAATAAGGGAATGAGAGCCACGTGTTGGAGGCGATGGCCCAATCTGTACATTGACGACAAGTGGATTGATTTGTCCAGTGTATCAGGAAGTGAGAACTACGCAGTGATGGCTGACGTTGGCTGCATGACAGCTATATCTGTCAGGGTCACCAGCCATCGATGTAGCTCGTTCCGCGGTACCCATATGAGAAGACGGCGGTCGCCAACGTGACTGATTTGACTGGCAAGGACTTTCGTGTTTTGTTGTTGTCAAGTTATGGACTCACCGTCCCTCGGTCGTCTCCATCCGACACGAGACTGGGTGGATCGGGCTCTACGAGACAGGCGGTCCTCTGGCATACGAAGTACATGGCCTAACCGGCGTAACCTGTGAAGTATGACAAGCTAACCCACCGTGAAAGGAATTGATATGGCTTAGCGCTCTGTCTGCTTCAACTAAGAGCTTACACTCAATCCTTTGAGGGACTTCTAGAAAAGAGCACTTCGATGTAGCTCCTTACTAATTGGGTTGTACGACCACACCCAAGCTGCGTTTATGATGAGGCCACCAAAGTAGCTTCAGTACTCAGAAGGGCGGCGTGCATTGCAAACCGAGGGTAGTATCTCCTTAAGATGAATTTTAAAGCCTTAGAGAAAAGACTTGAGACCACCATTAACAATACGCAAGTGCCAATATGATATTTCGGCTGGGCTGGTGATTTTCCGCGAAAGAGAACTTTATTTGATTACTCGACACGGCTGGCCTGCGACCAGTCACGTACGTTTGAAGCGTTGTTAGTGTCACAGTTTGGTGGTAAGTTACAAAATCGAACCAGCTCTTTAGGAATCCAAGCTCACTCACCTACGGCGAGAATGATTAACTGGCAGTGCCGTGCTATATGGAAAATTTTCCACCTTTTTCCAGTTCAGCGCGTAATCCCTGATCCATCGACGGAAATTCAGAAATGTCTCTCATTATCGGGTGTTCCTTGCTAAGTTGTTTTACCGTACTTGTCTTGTTAATTACTCTAAGCTTCCTTGTAGGTTTCAAAATGTTCCTCCTGAATTCTACGTGCACCTAGCCCGTTACTGTGTATGTGTGCATCACTAACATTTACTAACGGTCATCTTTATCACGATCCGTTAGAAGACTGGACACCGTGACTCTACCTAATTATGCTTATAACGTGTACTACTACTGCCACTACAAGTTGGTAAACCAAATGCTTGTCGCCACTCTAGCTGGCACACATCACTCCGTCATTGGTGACTTCGCCAGAGTATGTGGATGAACCGAGTGGCTCGCCCGTGGATGACCAAAAAGCCGGGAAGTCCAAGTCTGTAGGTCGTGTTATTTGTCTGCCATGCTGGTTAGTTTCGTGCAGATACAAAGGGATTCAGGTTGTTCTCATTTTTGTATTGAAAAACACAGATAACGACGTTTGTATTCGGCATTTTGATGTATCTAGTACTGCTCGGGATAGCTCAGTGGTGAAGACGCAAAATCACTAACCGGAAGGTCCAATCGTGGCCTCTCGACTGCTCATGTTTGGCCTTGGGCAATGTGGCAGCGTCCCGGCCCTCGTGCCTTGCTAGGCTTACTTACTACACTCAAGTTTCACTCCAGAGGCCTCGGTTGGTGTCCCATATAAGCCACAGCAAATCACTAAGTCACCTTCTCAGGTGAACACCTACTAACGCCTTCTATCCACGTATAATACTGGACGGGATACTATTAAGACTGTCTCAGTTTTCATGAATAACTCAGCTAAGCTCCGGTTCAACACAGAGTCACCTCTCGAAATGTTGGTTACTCGACCTATGAGATTCCAGTATTTACTGACAACTCAATACTGTTTGTTTCGCATTGTGTTCGGAGTGGTCCGGTAGGCCACCCGGCGTCGAAAGACACAAACTTTCAAAACATTCAAAAACAGACATTCAAAACATGGAAGTCGT